AGGGCTGGGCAGAATACGAGCACATGATTCGGATGGAAATCGAGATAGGAGAGAGTTATCTAGCGGGGGTGGTTCAACTGTTCGAGGAACCTACCAAACCGGAAGGGCCCCGAGGACGAGAGCGGGACTAGCACCCGGAGGCAAACCAATAAGGCAAATCAAGTATATTCCGCTACGTACAGGGCCTCACCGATGGAAATAGGGAAGGACCTTCGGACCCGGACGATAAAAAACCGCTACGGGATAAGGGGAAGGGTGAACTCGTAATGGTTGCCATGACTCTAGAAGTTGAAAAGGGAATACTGCTTGGGAACTTTTCCTAACGGGATGCCCAACCAGGACTCCTACGCGCCCGGCACGGCAAAACTGGGGCGCTCTAAACGAGCCTGTCATAGGGGGAACTAAGCAACGTTCCTTGGCTCAATAAGGCAGCAGGGTCGGTCGCGGCTCCTTCTTAGGGGAGCAATCAGAAAACGAAAATGAGGAGAAGGTTGCTATCCGAATAAGATAAACCGACGAGACCAGAACCTATGGAACCTAAATGCCTCGTGCTGCCTTTATCCTGGGGAATTCTCTGGTTTATGCAGAACTAGGCAAAATGGCGACGGAATATGAGACGGATAATCGTAGGAGCGAGGGAGGACCAGACTTAGGAGGCAGTGCCGTACAAAGCGAAGAGGGGCAGAAAGACAGAGAATCGATAAATCCGGATGGTACCAAGGGGAACAGGAAGGAAATCTCCTCAGGGGAAAGCTCGCGGAAAGTCTAGGGAAGCAAGCAAGGGACCCAGGAGACCAAGGAGGGTAGAAATAAGGACAGGTCAAGCCCCCGGAATTCAGAGGGAGCTGTGTCTAAGAAAGTGAGAGTCACGGATGCGATGCGCAAACTAGCAGAAATATAAAAGAGGACCGCGGAGTACACGGCAAGATTGATCGAGGAGATGATGACGGGGAACGAGGAAGACCCCCGACGGGAAGAACCGCGGGACGAACGAAAGGTCGACCGAGGCGGAAATGGGCAAGGGGGTAAGGATAGTGACCGCGGAGGGACACCGAGCAAGAGGAGGAAGGAGAGAGAGAACTCCCCGGGGATGGAAGCAGAGAAAGCTACGAATCCACCAGCCATAGATAGCAGGGCTAGCCGCCTGCCGGCCACGCCGGCAGTAATGCGAGGATGTGAAGGGCTCTGGAGCCTTAGGGAAAGGGTGTTGGGATGGTTCGACCCGGAAGAGACTGCAAAGACTAGGGAAGGACAGAGGGCCGTCAAGGAAGGGAAGAATACCAGTACAGCGGGCGAGGCCAGTAGCTCCGAAGGCGTCCCCAGGAAGATAGTATCGTCTCTCATGCGAACACTAAACAAAAACCAAGGCTACCTCGCGGACGCTAAGAAGAAGTTGACATTTGACGGGGCAAACATCACAGAGTTTCTAATAGATTACGAGAACCTGGCGGTGTTGCTGAAGTGGAGTAAAGAGGAGAAGATGGACCACCTAGGACAGCATGTGTCGTTGAGCCATTGTGGCCGCGAGCCGGTCTTGGAAGGAGACCCGGGATGTAATGATGAGGAAATACCTGGCGGCGGAGAAAATGGCAAAAGAGGCCGATTTAGCGGCGGTTCAAAGGAAGAACTTCGCAACGTACAATGACTTCCTACGGGAATTTACCCTGGTAGTGCTAAGGATCCCCGGGGTTACGGACCGGATAATGAACAATACTTCCTCAGGCAGTTCTCAGAGTTCGACAAGGACAAGATCCTGCCGGCTTACCAGCAGACGAGCAAGTTTGTAAACACCAGGGATGTTGATTTCAGTACGGTTACGGATCTGGCCGAGAAGACAGTAGTGACCGAGACATTGGCCTTGCTTAAGGAAGGGGAGGTCATAGATCTGACCAGTAGGACAGGCGACAAGGTAAATAAGGGGATTGAAAGTCTACATTAACGGGTGCACGGAGTCGACAAGAAGATTGAAAGGGTGGAGAACGCGCTACTGGTTATGCAGGCGCAAGTATCTCGACCCGCCCTCCCTCCCCAGGAACCCATAGTCCCGGTAGGAGTGGCCAACCGAGGATTCGGACGGAAAGATCCCGCTAATGAGCAATGCAGGTATTGTACCGCGGTAGGGCATTTTGTATGCGCATGTCCAAAGCTCAACCACGATATATTAAAAAGGAGATGTACCAGATCACTAAAAGAAGAGATATTCGGACCACAGGGAGAACGGGTGAACTGGAACTCACCAAGGGGAATGTGGCACGCCATTATCATGCTCAATGGGTTAGAAATAGCAGCAGTAGAAGCTGAGCCGGTGGTCGATATCATCTGGGACCAACTCCGGGGCCGTGGGCCGCAGGTCAACTTCATTTTGGAAAGTGACGGACGTAATAGGGTGAACGCGACTACTCGGCTAGGGACGGCTGGGAGAAGGATTATCCGTGACACCGTGATGGAGGAGGTTGCTGGAGGCTCCGCGCCCCAGGCAGAGCCCGAGGCTGGGGAACCAGAGAAGGTTTATGGGAAGCCGAGGGAAAAGTAGCCTACAGACAAGGTCACCGCTGCTAAGAAAAAGTTAAGGTATCAAATCCCGATCTTAACCATGCCCGAGATTGATGACACCCTTAGCAAATTACTAGGAACCATGATGTTGGTATCGTTTCAGACCATGCTGCAGGCCAGCCCTAGGTTGCTCAAAGGGCTTAGACAACTGTTGACTCGGCGGCGAGTAGAGATAGACGAAAACCACGAATCACCGAAAGAGGAAAGGGAGGAGGAAGCTCCGCAAGAAGTCGCTAACCTTCAAAGGAGTCACGGGGATTTGGAGGATCTAGAGAAGGCCTTTGCGGACATCCGCCTGAGCTTGCCGGACCGAGAAGGTGGTGAGGTCATGAGGGCACCACCCGGAACGAAGCTTAGCTTCCATGCATTGCCATAGGAAAGTTGAAAGTTCAGATCGTGACTCATCATACCGACGCATTAGTAGACGGGGAAGCGTAAATCACTCTCATAAGAAGAAACTTCGCAACAATCACCGGTTGTACGATAAATAAGGAGGTGTCAGGGAGCATCCGGGGAGCCGGTGGGGAAATTCTATTCGCTGGGTATGTCACGAAATGTGCGGTCAAGGCAGGAATCAAGGAGTCGATCTGGTCATTTCAGCGGATGACCGTCATGGAGGAAATGGACCACGACATAATCATCGGGAGACCATGGTGCGCCAACGTAGAAATGATAGGCATGCACTTGCACGATGTTACGTACATGGTAGATATAGAGGACCTAGTGACTGGTCGGGGGGAGCTTCTCCGACTCCTTGGGACGGGAGGAGACCCTCCGAAGGGGAAGTTAGCAACGTGGTCGCCGTCGTTCGAAGATAGTGCACGGAAGGGGGCTTTTGCGCGAATGGAGGGTATGAGAGGAAGGGTATAAATTATGATTGAGGAGGCATTCAACAATAAAGAACGGATCAAGACGGGCCTTTCTCGGAAGAAGAGAAGGCAGGAAGACGAAATCTTAGGTGTTATGGTGGCAGAAAGGGAATCAGAAGTCGAACTCGGAGCCAACCTGCCCAGACGAAAAGAAGTGCGGAAGGAGGTACCGGAAATCGCACTTGAGATCCCGACGTATTGCAGCTCATCAAAGCTATCAGGTATCACAAAGTAGGAGTGGATCCAACAGCGCTGGCCAAATTTGAAGGAGAAATACAGAAAGGGTATTGTCTGAATGAGAAAATACCCACGGGTCGCGGAGGCAACTGGAGTAGCCCCGACCGTTCATTTTTTAGGAGAAAGATCCTGGAAGGAAGTGTTAGAAAGTACAAGCTAGTAGGGAAGAAAGTTAAACCGGTCTCCGTTCTGCTAGAGATCTCCAAGGAAGAGGCCATGGAAAGGGAGGAAGAAGTTCTCTGAGTGATCTGAGAGAGGCGAGCAACGGAAGGGCATCGGATACCAGATGAGGTAGCTGATACAATGAAAATAGGAATAAAGAGATTCTTAACGGAAGAAGAAACCCTCCTGATCAAAAGGACGTGCCATGAGTTTCATCTGGCATTTGCCTTTAGTGATCACCAAAAGGGGCGGTTAGACGCGAAGCTAATTCCCCCGGTCAGAATCCATACGGTAGAGCATGAGTGTTGGAATGACAAGGGTCCGTCCTATGAATTTGGGATAGCAGGGGAAGTAACAGACCTACTTCGAGCGAAAATTGACTCCTTCGTCGCAGAGCCTACGACGTCACCATACGCGAATAGGTGGTTCGTCTTTCGAAAACTCAATAAGACGCTAAGATGGATTCAAGATCTGCAGAAGTAGAATGCAGTGACCATCCGGGATGCTGGTTCACTACCTCAGGCCGATTTATTAGCCGAGTCTCACGCCGGTCGGAGCATTTACTCCCTGATAGATTTGTACTCAGGGTACGACCAACTTCCATTGGATGCTCGGGACAGACCATACACCGCAATGCACACCCCCGTAGGCCAGTTGCAGATGCAGGTGACCCCTATGGGCTTTACGAACGCAGTAGCCGAAACGCAAAGGAGAATGCTCGTCGTAGCCGGAGACATGTTTCCAAAGAAGTGTGAACCCTACATCGATGACAACCCGATCAAAGGCGCCCAAGAAAAGGACGAGACGAAAATCCAGCCAGGAATTCGAAGATTTGTATGGGACCATCTACGGGACATCAAGGACCTACTCCGCCGATTCCTAGTATACAACATCACGGCTAGCGGACCAAAGAGTATTCTGGCAGTACCGGAAGTGACCATACTGGGATTCCGCTGTGGCGCATATGGAAGGAAGCCGGACCCGACTAAGACCGATAAGATATCGCAGTGGCCAACACCCCTGCGCACAACGACAGAGGTAAGAGCATTCTTAGGCGTGGTCGACTTTTGGCGGATCTTTATCAAAAACTTTGTCAAAATCGTTGAACCTATCCGCGCCATGGTCCGAGAGGAAGGAACCATGGATTGGACGGAGGAGCGAGAGGGAGCCATCCAAACCCTCAAGGACATATTGATGTCCGAGCTAATCGCCTTGGCAGCGCCCTGTTTTAAAGACGAAGTGGGACGATCGTTCATCCTAGAGACAGACAGAGGACCCTTGGCCGTAGGAGGCGTACTGATTCAAAGGGATGAGGAAAGGAAAGAGAGGCCGATTAGGTTCGAAAGTAGAACCCTGAACTCCGCAGAACGGCGGTACTCACAGTTCAAGAAGGAAGTCCTAGCCATTTTGCATTTCCTCAATACCTTCCAAGCGTACCTATTTGGGAGGCGGTTCATCCTCAGAATCGACCCAACGGACGAACGAATCGCTGGACTCAGAAACAAGGTCGATGGGCTAAGTCAGGTCTGTATCACGCCCGAAGGGGTGGAAGACGCGTTCCTTGAATACGAAGGAGGGACACTTGCAGTGGATAATGAAATGATGGGCGAAGGATGCGCGTCGGGAGAACTGTTGATTCAGACCTTGGAAAAGGGGGCTCCTGCCGTGGTAGTAGAACTTAGAGAAGGACCAGTCACCACTCGAGGACGCAAGGAGGAGAGGATTCGTGGGGAGCGATAGTAGGACCGAAGGAGGAATTGATGGCAATGACGGTTGAAGGAGGTCGGGAAACCGTGATGAGCCTAGTGGGGTCTTGGGAACGAAAAGAATTGCAGTGGATGGTAAATCAGGTGAAGGAGAGAAAGGACGAGGACCAAGAAGGAAGGGAATTTTTCTATGCTCGGATATACGAAGGGATTTTTTGGGAGATCGGATTGTTGCTGGTAGGAAACAAACAACCCATGGAAGTCACTTTAAGGCAAGGGAGGAGGCTGAGAGGTACGTCCTAAAGGGCGGTCATCTATTCAGGAGGGAGGAAGGCGTTATGCCCAGGAGAGTTGTATGCGGAAGGTCTATGCAGTTGGACGTGATTCAGGCAATGCCCGACGGACTAGCAGGAGGACATCGATCGTCCAAAGGAACTCTCGCAAAAATGAAGTTCCTCTACTATTGGCCAGACATGGCAGGTATGGTCGCTACGTACTGTCAGACCTGCCTGATCTGCCAGGAATGGAGCTCGACTCGCATCTTCGAGCCACTTAGACCAACACGAGTGTTAGGGCCAGGACATCTGGTCCACCTTGACCTTGCGGTTATGCCCGTGTCAACTGATGGATACAGGTATATCCTGGATGCACGAGACAACTTGAGTGGGTTCGTCGAAGCAGTCACCCTTAAGAAAAAGACGGGGAGGAGTGTAGCTGACTGGATAGAAGATTTCTATCTGAGGTATCCCTTCATCAGGAGGTTTATAGCAGACAATGGAACAAAATTTGTGAACCAAGAAGTGTTGGGGATGCTTAAAAGGCTCTGCGTACCGATCAAACTCATCGAGCCGTATCACCCGGAGGCTAACGCACCTTTGGAAAGGGGGCACCGGACCTTAAAGAACACAATTGTGAAGCTCGCGGCGGACAATCTGGGGAGCTGGCCCAGGTATCTTAAGCAGGCTATCTTCTCGGAGAACATGACACCTAAGAGGACGACGAGATGTATCCTAGCGGAACTTTGGTACGGAAGAGAGATCAATTTTCCCGTGGAGGCTTTGATACCTACCGGGAACAGGTTAGATGACGATCCGCGTATGACCACGAAAGAATTAATTGAGGCAAGATGTCAACAAGTCCTTAGGAACGAGAAGGTCATGGAAGACATCGCCAATCGGGTACTAGACAACAGAATGAGGGACAAAGCAAGGTGGGACCAGGTTAAGAATAACCGAAAGGAGCCACTTCAGGTGGGGGAAACGGTATTGGTAAGAAACTCGGCACTAGAAAGCACTTGGTCCGGGCAACTGGAGAGAAGGTTCAAAGGCCCCTACCGGGTCGCCAAGGTGGTGGGACTGAACACCTTTGAGCTGGAAGATTTGGATGGAACTGGATTGAAAGGACCCTTCCCAGGGCAACGGTTGGTTAGGTTTCTAAGTCGGGACCCAGTGGAATGATGGCTTCAGGAGGCCGAGGATAAGGAAACTGAAGGGCTACAAGCTAAGGATACGACCTTGCCCACACTATGGTTTTGTCTCTGACTGCGTCTGTGGGACTGTCATTTTTTTTGGGATGGGGCAATGGTTTGGACTGACTGAAGTGGGAAGGCGGAATGTCTTGGGACTTTGTGATAACGAGTTTTGTGTGACGATGGGAAAAATTGTCAGAAGCATTGTATCATAGTTCTTGATGGGAAAATAATGGGATCATCACAAATGTGGCATTTGCATGAGAGGGGAATGTATAATAATGGTCTGATGCGGAGGTTACTGGGAGCATTCTGGGGGAAGGGGTATTGCCTACCGAACTGGGAGAACGTGTGTATGAGGGGCTTGGCGGGTGTTGTTCTGTTATACAAGATCATGAAATAAACCCTAGAAAAACAAAAATGGAATTCGGCGACGAAAATGACAGCGGGGCAATCAACAGGCCTACCGAAGAGGGAGGAGCAGGGCCAAGTCGTGAAGGGAGGATTGCAAAGAGAAAATTGTACATAGGGTACATGTCCAAACATGTAGTAGGCAGGGGAGCGAGAAAGCGCGTCTGTAGATGGTCTTCGCCCCTCTCCGGGAGGGAGAAGGTATATATATCTCATTCGGAAGTGGGAGCGAGGAAGAAAGGGCAAGTGTGGGAGGAAGGGCTCAGGCCTCCGACAAGGAAGGAGCCAAGAGATGCAAGCAGCATGAGTGTTGGCATGGGGAGAGCGTGGGGAGACACGACATGTGCGACGGACGCGAAGACGGGGGAGAGAGAAGGGAAAACCCGCATGAAGAGCGGAGCGGTCATGGCAGTTATGAAGGGAGATACCCCGACTTTGAAGAGGGATATGGGAGGAGGACAAAGGTTCTCTATAACTTGGATCCGAAAAACTTCACGGGTGGGTTCAACCCCATACGGACGGAAGAGGAGGTGGATGAGGAGGAGGAAGTACAAGAGGTCATAGAGCAGCAGTGACGATGAGAGGGATGAAATCTCAAGGCCTAAGAAGAGAGGCGAACCCCGATGCACCAGCCGCGCGAAGAAGCCTTCAGATGGGAAGACGAGTTTGAGTCAACGCTCATTCATTGGTTTCAACAATGACTCAGTGTAATCAAGCATGATTGGATTATCAAGACCACGGAACTCGCGGAGGCAGAGGTAACGGCCACACCTTTGGATTTTTACAGTGAGATGGAATTGCAAGAAATTGCGAAGAGGAAGAGAGAAATCATGGCCTCCGGCCTGGGAGTTAAAAAGCCAGCGGAAAGACAAGATGGGCAAGAGACTGAGCAAGATGAGACACATGACAACAATAGGGATTAAATGTTGTTCGTGTTGAACAAGAATTGTGCTTTTTTGTTTGCAAACATTGGAACGACAAAATGTGTATAGTATGAGTAAGCTTGCTAAGGATGAGTGATGAGAAGACTAGCTGAGACTGTGCCACGATGAGTTAGAAGATAGCATTTTGCGACTACTTTCTGAATGGGCTACGTTTGAAAGAGTGTATGCAAGACAATGACACGATGCATGGGATGAGACTGGTTGGGAAGGGTGTACTGTGAACTTTGGATGGAATGAGGATTGTACCTTTGAGAAGAAACTGTGAGTGCAGATTGACGAGCAAAGCAATGCATTGAATGATTGGTCGAATACAAGACAGGTTAGGGAACCTATGGGTTAAGGGGCGTGAGGAACACTCTTTCCCTAGGAGCCTAATCCAACTGGGTCATGAATGAGTATGCAAATAGCCAAGAGCTGAGAGACCAGAAAGAGTGAAAATAGAGGAGGTGCCCCGTTCTTTTGCTATGGTTGAACGGTTGGGTGGGCTAGTGCTGCTTGGGGTTGTGAGCCTCAATTCGAGCAACTGGACGCTAAGTCGGATGTTTTGCATAAACAGCAAATGATATTGAGAAATGGACAAAGGAAACCGCATGCCAAAAAAAAAATTGCAAGAGATGGCCACCTTCTAACCCCCGAGACAAGAAATGGGATCCGTGTTCTCGAGGCCCACCCCCTCGGGCGCTGACATTGGAATGGAAAAGGAATGGACCTAACTAGGCTGTTCGACTTGAGAATGAAAAGGAATGACCCTTACCAGGTTGTTCGATTGGAATGGAAAAGGAATGACCCTAACTAGGCTGTTCGATTGGAATGGAAAAGGAATGACCCTAACCAGGCTGTTCGACTTCAGAATG